TCCCCCAGTCCTCACTATATCCTGGTTCAGGCCCTGCTGTCAGAAGAGGGTCTGCAGGGAAGGCTCAATGCTGGGGCCTATGGTCCTGGGCAGTGGAGCCACGTGCCAGATAGTGGCTGGCCCTCCTGTCTGACCTGCTTGTCCCCGCCTGCTGTGCCAGGCAGACCTACCCCTTGCCTGTCTTTAGGCCAGCTACCTGGGACTCCTCCCCATTGCCTACTTAGAAGATCCTAACCCACTGCAGGGCACCCCAGGACTCACATCTAGAGCACTAGGGCAGGTTCTGTGCCTGAGTCTGGGGCCCCTTGAAGCCTGGTGCTGGCAAGGCAGGTGTGCTGGAGTGGGAAAATGGGCCCCCATACCCCCTGCCCATTGGGTGGGGCAGTGCTGTGTCACTCTGTCATTGTACTATAAATACAGATTTTTATACCTCACCCCTCTGGCTCAGCTCTTTCCGTCACTGTGCTTCGGTTCCGACTAGAGAGCCTGGGGCCACTGGTGGCCACCTGGCCCAGCCTTTGGGGATTGGCCCTCACTGCCCTGCCCACAGCCTCTGCTTTCTGGGAAGCCTGACAGACTCCTGCTCCCTCTCTCCACTGTCAGCCACCAACGGGCCTTGCTGGCCGCTGTCACATCGGAGTTGGATGAAGGTGGGGTCCAGCAGATGCATTTTCTGTTGTCATTTGGGCTCCACTCCTAGCCAGGGTTGGGGTACTGCCTGGCCAAGGACAGCTCTTCTCTTAGGGTGTCTGAGCCCTCCCTGTGCAGGGCCTGCTACTTCTCAGAGATGTACCCTGAGAGTCCCTCCCTGGGCACTCCCATTTAGGAGTGGCTATGGTGTGGACACCACATGCAGTGGGAGGAGAGGCCTCACTCTCACCCATGCAAGCAGAGCAGACCACTGAACCTCTGAGGACCTGGGTTTGGGGAGTGTGAACCCTTAGAGGAATGTACACTGGGGACCCTAGCAAAGGTCACCCACAGAGGAGAAATGCCTGCCTTCAGTTCTAGACAGCAGATGAAGTGGTGTAGCCAGACAGGTGTTTGCTGAGCATGGGTGGCAGCAGCACAGGGGAGGGGCCCTGATAGCTGGTTCTGGGGTGGCCACAGGAGAGGACTGGATTCCTTCTCCCTCCCCCAGCAGGCAGCAGTGGGCTCTGGATTCCTGACCCTGTGTGAGCCTTCCCCCTATAGGGGGTCCATAAAAGAAGGAAATTCCTACTGAGGTCTCAGCTGGGGCCCCACAGCACAAAAATTTGGGCATCACTGTAAGTGTGGACATTTGAATTATGATTTAGAGTCACCACCACCCTTGTTTCTGTTGAGGGCAGTGACTGAGAACTACGCAATTAGCACCTGTCTGGTCATGCTGGACCCATCTCACAGGCAGCAACTAGGGCTCAAGGTGGAATCCCCACCATCAGGGAACCCTCCCCTGAATCCCTCCCAAAGTCCCTCTCCCTGTTTGTTGGGTCAGAGCAAGGGCTCCCAAGGGGGGACCTGCTGCATCTCAGCACTCTGGCTGCTCCTCCTGGCGGTCAGATTGACTTCAAGCTGGTCTTGTTGCTCCCCTCCCTCAAATCCTCCTTTGGGTCCCCAAAGCCCACCCTTGCCCATGCCCAGTGCTCGCCAGCTCTGCCTGGACCTCACAGCACAGCATAGCCTCCTCTGTGAAGGGCCCTGAGTCCCTTCTGTCCTTGCCTTTACATCTTTGCTGGGATTGTGGCCCCAGTGCACCTACCCTGCCTTATGGAGATCTTTCCAGGATAGAAACAGGTTATGCCCCCGACTCCTCCTTTCTCATTGCCCTCAGCCTCTTCAGCCTATCCTGAGGTCTTTTATGAGATGCCTCCCAGCCTGTCCTCTGCCCTACCATCCCGTCTGCCTGTTGTTCTTGCTTTCTACATGGCAAAGGCCTCTCCACCTGCCCTGTGTTGAGCTCTGTGACCTCTGTTGGGTTTGCTGCTAACCCAAACCTGCTCTCAAGTTTTCCCTTTCCTCACATAGATGTCAAGAGGATGGAAAACAAACTCTTCCTCACCTTCCTCCAACCCCCTGGTATCAATCAGTGTGATCTTCACTCTTCTTAGTAGGAAGAATTAATAGGAAGAACAGGAAAAAATGTTGCCCTATGCTAGCTCTCTCCTCTGTACCCTCATGCTGAAGGAGCTGTCCTGCATTTTGTCTCTTGTCACCACTTGTCACTTTTGTTCTGCAGAATCATGCTTCTAACACACATCTGACAATAACTCTCTCACTTAGGAACGGACCTCTTTCCCCACTGCTTGTAGAATAGAGTCCCACCACCTTGACTGAGAACCACATCTGAAATCAATCTTTAGGCTAGACCTGGTGGCTCATGCGTGTAATCCCAGCACTCTGGGAGGAGTTTGAGAGGAGTTTGAGACCAGCACAGCAAGAGTAAGACCCCATCTCTAAAAATAGTTGGGTGTTGTAGTGGGCACCTGTAATCCCAGCTACTCAGAAGGCTGAGGCAGGAGGATTACCGGTGCCTAGGAGTTTAAAGTTGCAACGAGCTATGATCACACTCTAGCCCAGGTGACAGAGTGACAAAAATACATATAAAAAATAAAATAAATCTTTAACATCAGACTGATACTTCTAAAGTTTAAAAATGGTCTGAAAAGACATTGTCCAAAACCTAAAATACTTTTTAATGTCAGTAGGAGAAAAAAACTTCCGGTAGGAAGGCGGAAAAAGCAAATAGTGAAAACACTTGGTCCTCACAGCTCTGTGTTTGGGTCTGTTTAGTCCATGGGTTTTAGTCTCATGGGTTTTCTCAGGG